GACAGATGGAACTACAGCTGGCAATAGAATTCCAGCTTGATGTTGTTTTTATTAACATTTGAAGTGTTGCTATGCTGCATCGAAAATAATCTGCTGGTATTGGGTACCTCCTTTCACTCATTCTACCGAAGGCAACAGAGCGGAAAGCTGCCTGTATTTGGTTTTGTTTAACTACAGAGAGATCACTAAAAATGACGCAAGTGTTGATCTGTGAGAAAGGATGTAGTTTGGACCAGAAGTTCATCGACATGAACCGATTGGCCACTACAGGCTACATCTCCTTGGATCGGCCTAATAGGATCGACCGGTGTTTGTGATGTGATGACAGCGCAGGTGGCTAACACTTGTATTAGCGTGCTAGTGGGGCTGTGTGCTCTGTTGTCTGATAGAAGTGGTATCAAGTGGGCAAAGGAAAGTAACCACTAATAGATTCTGTGGGCAAGCCTGAGAAGTGTTATACAAGGCCAGATGACCTCGGGGAATAGTGTTGAGGAGATGGCGATGCAGAGCGCTAGCTTGTATTTCCATACCAGTCACTCTCAAATGGTTCCCCACCTGCTACACAGGCCCAGTCCATCAATTGCTTCCATGTGGAGGGCTCAACAGACATGGTGATAAGTAAGGGCTGTTTGGGTGGATGTTTACAGCTATGAGAGACTGTCAGCCATCTGCTGAGCTGAGTCACATGAAAAGATTCCCCCGCCCAATCGAACAGCATTACCAGTGACTTTGAGGTCCTCGGATTGGTCAGTCAGAAACATCTGTGGCACCCTGATCATGCCATCTCTGGTCCTTCTGGTGTGACGGAATGAGGATGAAGGGAGGTTTCTGTTAAAATCGACCCTCGAAGATTCAGACTGATTTGTCGCTAACGTGTTTGAATGGGGCAGAGGTCCCAGCTGTCATTGTTAAACAGAAATCGGCGGATCGTGCTCTCCTGTCCTCTCCGAAGCTCCCGTTCTTTCCCGCGCGGCAATAATAACGTAGACACTGCAAACCCACGGTGGAAGCGGCTTCGAGATCCACCTCAGCTGCTGGCAATCTGCGCCTCTGATTGGCCAAATGCAGAACAGATGAGGACACTTGAGGAATTAGCTTCTGACTGGTTGTCAGGCTGCTAGCCGACGAAACTCATTGGGTGGCTGGTTCTTCAAAAAGGGCCTGCTGGATGGGCTAGGTTAGCGGTCGCTGGTCAGTGATTTATGCGGTGGAGTTAGTGACTACTTTGGACGGCTGACTGTGAGCTGGGCTTGATGTACTTTCCGTATCATAATGTTTACTCTGCAGGAGTTCATTGCGTGGCTGTCCTAGTGTTGACTGCTCAATGTGGACGGGCTTATATCCTAGCTAATTAAAGTGGTGGCACCATATGCTCTAAAACACTCTAAAAGCACAAAAACATTCCGGGAAACGACAAAACGTTCCAAAATTTGTGCAGTAATATTATTCCAAGAGTCCGAATAAAACCTTCCCTGCTGTTCTCAGAATATCGCTTTTTATTTGCGGAGCCAAGCTATTCGTAGCTTCGTCTGGTTTACAGAGCAATGGCGGTTGGAGGTTTCCGATTAATACGCTGTAGTTTCGGCTGTGCGCAACCGGCTCTGGAAGCGCTGCGCAACTCGAACTGTGGTCGGACAAGTGCAGCTTCATGCAAGCAGTGCCTCTTGCGCTGACTTTATTAAAAAGACATGAACTATTTAGTCGTATTTCCTCAATTTCTTAAGAGACCTCAGGGGGGAAGCACCTTGTTCCCTTAAAAGTATAGAAACGCATACCACAGATAAATTTAGATATTAGCTGCAGTGGCAATTCAATCAGACGTGTACTGAGAAGTCTTCTGAAATACATTTTTGGTTTTGTTTGTTGGGTAGATTTATTAATGTGTGTTTTCCGGCAAGCGGAAATCACACGTTTGAATTGTGTAAAAGTACATTTGAGTAAAATTGTGTAATTACAAACTCGTAAACAATGTCCTGTTTCTTCTAATGCAACAACGTTTTTCCCTAGAGTAGGCTGCACACTATTTAATTTACACTTCAGCCTTTACACGCAGTATATAAAAGCCCCATGAGAACTGTGAGTTAACAAGGATTAATAGGATTAAAGTGGGTCTCCTGGGATTCAGTAATGACAGCGATTTTGGCAGCTGTGAGCTTTAGGAGTATATGTCTGTCTGTACGTGACAATCCTGAATTTTAACATTAAGCTTGACGAGATTCAATATATCCCCCAGCTACACCTTTATATGTGTCAACGGCGCTATTTGTTTTCGGATATTTAAATTTCTGATTATTTTACGAGGACTTGGATGTCCTTTGTTACCGTTGTCATTGCGCTAATGGTGGCGGGACTGCGGATACCATACGTGGCATAATAAAGGGATGGAAGTGACCTATGAAGATGTAACAATTTTTCACGGCATTACAACCGCAGCTGCCATAGGACAAAAGCGATTTTTTGGGGTTAGTCTTGTTAATCAAAGGCAGAGTATTAAAACATTTAATTATTAACTTTGTTTTGGTCGTGACCTGAAGCTCTACTAAAAATTTCCTGTTGGACTGTCGTCTAATTAAGATTTACATTTACATATTATGCAGTTTAAAACATCGTTCACAGGTGATGTATTATATTATAGGTCACACAAGTTCCGTTTTTTAACTAGGACGCCACCTGCTGGCTTCACAGTACCTTTACCAACTAGTTTTAGAAGTAGTCTCTTGTCAAGTCATATGGAACAGTAATGGCTTTTAAAAACGGATTCATTTTACTGTTTGAGTGGAAACCTGCATATTACTAATTCCAGACTAACCGACGTTTAAGTAAATCCTGTGAAAGCTTAGCTGGTAATTTAAAACACCCTCTCTACACAGGATCTCATAGACCTACCCATTTTCCTACGGTACCAGTGGCATGCATTGCGTGAATGACCGTGGACTATTTAATTGTCCCAGATGGTGTGTACAAACTGAAATAAGACAAAAAGGAAAATTTTGGCCGATAAGGCGTGTGAAACACTTCTAGATCAAACAAGGCTGATTCCGGACGAAGTTTAAAATCTAAATAAATTGGCTATTTTAAAAAATCAAGCACACATGGGGAACAACGGAACCACGTAATATTTAACTGCATGCCTATCTAAAAGTCTTTTTTTTTGTTTTATGATGAAAGCAACGATAAATAACACAACACATGAGTCCATCTGTATAGTGGGGGGAACCAAAAATATTTTTCCCAGAGTGAAAGGAAGAGGTCAGCATTCGTTGTGGGAATAAGGCTTGGCTGTGTGGGTCAGTATTTATCCGATTGCGTGGGGCTGTTTTTTTTTCGGTACAAGCGGAGGAACCGTCTCGAAATATAACGCACTTCAAAGAGTACTAAATGTTAACAAAGTGACCGCCCTTGAATCTACACCACTTGCGCTTCACGGGTAAGCCTACATACCTTCCGTTTGCGAGATATTAAATCAGTGGAGCTGACAGCTGTCTTCTCCGTTTATTACATCTAATGCAGGACTGGCCAGTCCTACAGGCGACACAGGCGCCCGCCTAGGGCGTCAACTTCTGAGGGGGGGCGCCGGCACTGATGCTCGCCTAGAGCTCCACATTGGCTAGGACCGGTACTGATCTAATTCTACACGAAGTTGCGTGCACGTGCATTATATTATTCAACATATAAACTAGATTACACGTTTATAATGCATATTATCTGTGTGTTTAGCTAATACAGGCAAATAAACGTTATGAGTGTATGAAACAGCACACAGGAATATTATTGTTAAATCGCTGCTAACGACTTACAGGAATTAGTTATTAAAAATAGCTTGCGCATTTGCTCCAGGGAAATTAAATCTCCGTAACACTACAAGTATCTGATTGCTTAACTGCTTCGAAGTCGTCTACGAGAACTGGACTCATTTTCCCAAAACCTCTGCGTATTTAAACACTTAGGCCTGTACATGGACCGTGCATTAATGCTAAAATAGCCTATTTTTCATTCTATTAAACCCAGTCATTCATTTACATGCTGTGAAAACGAAATTAGACGAAGGTGCCTGAATTAGCAACAACTTATCATTACTACTTGTGATGCCACTTGTTTATTGATAATCCTTTTATTATCTTTATGCTCTAAAAATATAAAGGAATTAGCTTTTAAACTTTTAGGTAAAAATGTCATGAACATATTAAACACTGCTTACATTTATGTGTTATCTAACCAACCTTGAGCGACGGTATCATATTTTTCATATCCAGATCGCGTACAAATAGCATTGTTTAAAAATACATGCACAGACCTAGCGCATAAATCTGCGCATCAGCTAAACATGGATGTTATCACCGTCTTTCTGTACGTCTTCCTCCACGGAAAGGCATTTTCTCGTTGGCAAAATAAAACTTATCAAATATTTACATTTTCCTCGGTGTATGAATACACAATTCATTTGCGGGGCAGGTCACTGCACGCAGTAGGAGGAGGTAGGAAGTATTCGATTAAAGCAATTTTAACATGGTGTCATTTCTCCAAGTATAAAGCAATTCTATATATATATATATATATATATATATATATATATATATATATATATATATATATATATATATGAAATAGTCGACATTAAACATTAAGTGAGACCTGTTAACTCATATGTGGGACATGTCTACATAGAAAATGGTATATTTGCAACTATAGCAAAATAATATATAAATACTTGAATATTGCTATGGTTTACTGTTAACACGGTGATTTAAGATTTTGAGGAGATAAAGAGATCAGTGGCCGAGACTTTCAATAAGTCTTAAAAACAAGTGGGTTAACTTTGCCCTTCATTTCCGTGGTTTTCATTCAAGTTAAATGAATAGTTAAATATATGGCCTGAGTATAATTTTATAGGTTTTTTTCCCCCTCGCGGGGGTTTCGGGTGTCGGTGTCTGGAAGCGGCGCACAGACGCACAATGCGCAGCACCAGCGCGAGGGCAGCACAGAGATCGCTTTCCCTCTTTGTCAGGTCTGAATGAGGGGCGGAGGAAACAAGCCCATTAGGATCCTATAAAAAAAGAAAGTATCTGAGGTCATAAATACTAGGTTGCCTCAAAAAAATGCCAACAGACCGCCAAAGACAGGCAACGAAGCACTCGGCGCGAATTTTTACCTTGACATTTTGGGAAGATAATAAAAACCAACTTATATTCTCGCCCTGACTTGTGATCGACGATTTACAGGACAGTGATATTTACCCCTGATACATTTTTTCCTCGTTTATTTTTTTTTCTTAATAGTAAATTTGTTGTATAGGCCTATTTATTCCCTATTTTGTTTGATTGACAAAATAATTGTTGGTGATGGTAGTTATGATTAACGTGGTTTTCCTCTGATTGCGGATTTTAGTTTTTTGTTCCAGTTTTCAGATTTTGTTTTAGAATTAAAAGGAATCCCCGAGTCCTTTTTTGCCAATGATGCTGGTACTGAGCCGGGGTAGATGCTGCTCTGCTCTCCTCTTGATGCTCGCCGCCGTGAGAATCGCAAGTTCACAGAAATCACACGCCGGATCCAAGGTGAACTCCATCCGGTCGCCTTTGTCAGGAGAAGCCCCGACGACTCCCATAAATTGTTCCGGATCCGGAGTTATTAAGAAAGGACAGAAATCGTCTCAGGTAAAGCGAATTCTACCTACCTAACGGCTTACTGGCTGATATCACTTTGCAGGTCTGAACAGGACCGGCGGTAGCGGACTAGCCTGAAACAGAACACGGTACATCCAGAGATCAATACGAGTACTGTTTGCAATCGTACTTATTAATACGTCGTTACTGACAACCCGACTGTGAGTGAAATATATTAATCATCAATATATTTAGGAATACTAAAATATTAACACTTTGTGCAATACTATGTGTTAGAACTTCATCTTATTTAGGATTAAAATGGTGGATTAACGATTAAAGATAACAAAAACCTGCCCTTGGGCAATCTTCTTCCAAAACCAACGTTTATATTATGTTTTAATCTACATTTCTCCCCGAGTACAATATTACTTTATCTTTTCTTTCAGTGAAATCTACTCCCTTTTTATTGTTTGAAACTGACAGTTTTGCAATGCGAATTATAGGGACTGAAATTTTAACCGCGGTACTTTAAAAACCCGATTTTACTTTATACCTCTTGGATGCGTGTCTCTTAACAAATAATGATGGCATTTAGACTTGTAGATCCCAGTGGGACCTGTTTTATTCATGGGCTTCCTTGAAACATTAAAGTTGTGTGGCCAGATGAAAACTTTTGGCCGGGGTTCACAGATTTCGGCACTAGGCTCGTAGTGACAGATTTACAGTGAATGTAACACTAGCCTTCTACAATTCGAAACCGTGCGGTTTCAAAAAGTGTTTCCGAAACATACAGAATAGGACCGCATATTAGCCTACTGTCATAAAAAGTCCCCCTCACGTGGTATTAATTATGGCGAAATTATGGGGAAGGACCCCCTCGTTAAATTCAGACCTTGACGCCGCAATTTTGGTCGTGTGCGCCTGAACAGCATCTCATTAACATGTGCAGAAAGTTCAGAGAGTAAACACGGTGAATACCTGTCTGGGTGTCTTTAAGCGAGTCCAGACGCACCCTGGAGTTATTAAATTCAACTGCGTTAAGACTGAAAGGTAGAAATGACTGCTATTGTCGACTAACTATCGAACAGACAAAAAAACGACAGAATCTGGGCAATATATGTATTACCTGATATTACTTCAGAGGTATGGTTTGGTGGATTGCGGACTCCGAAGTAACGGTCTGTGTAGTCTATTTTGGGAGTGCAACTGACTCTTTTAATGGGCGGATGACAGAGAATGAATATCGACCTTGTTACTAATCTGAGGTTCGAAAAGAGAACAAGCAGCCAAATGAAATCAGTCACCAATTACCCAAAATTACCTAAAACGCCAACAGGCCTATTTTCTGCAGGGAGACTACAGTGCAAGTATCCTTCCCAGTGTATCTGACAGTATGATATTAATTTATCTTCTGGAGTACCGTTTAATCAAGAAGGAGCGAGTTGTGCTGATGAAGCACATTGTGATTATTGTTATTAATGATTTAATCGTTTGCAATTCTCATTCTCTGCGACATCTACTCGTGTAACTTACACCTCCTGCAGTAGATGCCAAAAACTTTGAAGAAAACCTTCGGCAACCCACCGGAAGTTTGCCAGCTGTGAATAGCTAATATAAATTCATGCCTGTGCGCTCCAAGTGGAAAAAAACCCTTCAATTTTCACATCTCCGTATCGGATGTTTTGATTATGCAGGAAGTAAGATAATTGTGTGTTTCTAGATCTTTGTAATTCAGGTCACTGCCGGGAGGTTTTTGCGTGTAATGTGGCCTTATAAGTCCTGTGCAAATACACGTGCATCAAACTAACCTATATTATGTAATGCCTCCAAAAATCAGTTAATATAAACAGCCAGTTGGCTTAGACTCACAGCGTTTTTTGCCTATATGACTCCTTTAGGCTGTTCTTTCGTCTATGGCCTTTATTGCTGTACAATATTAACCCTGCGATTCCTGTCTGTTTCTGTTCATGTCCTGGCGCTCTTTATGAAGGGCTCTGTATAAAGAGATATGAGTCATCTCTCATTCAAATTCCTCCCCACACGTTCGTCTTTAATTCTCCGTCATTAATTCTCCGGAAATTTCTCCACTGTGACAAACACTCATCCATGTGTGCTGGCTGACTGTTAAAAGTGAAACGTTATTAACTGTAAGGAACAGCAGCTGTAAACGGCAGTGCGATCCCGGGGATGACTTTCTCGCAAAAGTAGTTTAACTGCACATCTCCTGACAATAATGGGATGGGATTTTTGCCCTTGTTTCACTTACCTGCTCATCACGGTAAAGTTTTTACCGTGCTATAACTCTGAAAGTGTTAAATGTCAAAGAACTTCTTGAATTTCAAATGTCTTACGTGTTAAGAGGTACACGGATAATTTGCAATGTGATCCGCGTGGAACATCAGAATTTCATTCTATAGCTGTGGAAGTGAAAATGTTGAAAATAAGTTTATCAGGAGCGAATTGGTGAAATAATTCGGAGAGATATAAAAGACTGTCAGTTTCAGTACTGGGCTGCACTGGTTGTACTGGAGTTTTTAACTGGTCAATAGATATTGCTCGTTTTGCAGACTGAACAGCATCTGACAGCTAGTGTGCTGGGCAGTTACGCAAGGTTAGAATTGAAGACTTTTTCTTGGGCAGATGTCAGTGGAGTTTGAAAAAGTTAGTTAGGTAAGCAGAATGATTGGATGCATCAAGAAAGAAAACAATGTAGTTTGTCAGTATTTTTAATAGAACCATACATTTCAATAGAATTAGCTTCACATAAATCTGTTTTATACCTAAACTTTATAGCACAAACTATAAAAAATCTGACAAGTTTATTGCGGGGCTGTTACACAGGAGATCAGCCGCCTTTCCTTTGTACCTTTGTTGTTTCTGCTTCTCAGAGGGATCGACGCAGAGGGTCCCTTTACGAGGGGGTGTTGCGGCGTATTTGAGCTGGAGCCTCTCCAGCAGGACGCCGCCCCGCCAGGACCGTGTTCAAACGAAGGCGTGCGTCATGCCACGCGAACAAATCAAAGGGGTTTGGGAGCCCAGGCTGCAGAGCCACGTCTGATGTCCTCCACGCTGCCATACCGCCAAACCAGCGTCTTCGCTCTCTGTGACGTTTAAGGTGGTTCTCCCTGTATTGGGTCAGAATCGCTCGTCTTCCCCCTCGCTGTGAGGATCCAGTACTTGGCCCCGCTATAATATGATTTGAAAGGAATGGACTTGTCTGCTTGCAAAAAGCATGACCCTTAAAGTACCTGTTTCCCTGCCTCTCCAGACAGGTCACTTAATCCACTGCGCAAACCTCACTTTGATCCTCCAAACGATCGTTCCCTGTTCCTTATTAGCGCTCGGCCATTGTTTATCAAACGGGACCCTTCGGTCTTCATCTCCAGCACCAGATTGAGGAGCTCCATCCCATTTGCTCTACCTTCAGTTGGTAGAACCCCACGATCCTTTTGACAGACACCATTAAGCTGATGAGCTATCCTCACTGTCTGTTTGTTAACATTCTGTCGACTCATTAGATACAATTTCACACTGGATACATATGCTAAACGAACACATGCACCCATTCGTTAATCCTGTAATTTATTATTCTGTCAAATATATAGCTAGAAGATAAGCTTAGCTTTGAGAACAAGGGGACACGAATTTGTTTTAAGTGTCTTAAGCCCCAATTTGGCAACGACTGTGTGACTGCTGAGGGGATTATTATGATTTATTGGGTGGCTGTCATAGCGTTGAGGTTTGTTAACGTTGATGATTAATAGCCCTACACCTCTCAGAAGAAATCCTTCTGGGTCCATAAAGTAGCAGGGCTTAGTACCACCGCCCACACCATCAAGGCCCGGTTGGCTATTTTCCTTTATCCAACTGAGGCACTCTTACTTTCGTTCCAGCGTTTTCCCTCACGGGGCATCCACTGACCCCCACCCACAATGCTTTGCGTCTTTTACAACTCATCAGACGGCTGATGAAATGCGTGTCCCCCAAGCCTGTCGCTCTCCAGCGCCAAGGGATGTGAGTTTAGCATACTCCATAAGCTTCTCAAGCTGCCCCCTGCTCAATTCTGGCAAATTAGGGAGGCTGAAAAGCCCCATCGCCCGTGGAAGGCAAGGTTAGCAGAGGAAGCACTTGCGTTATGCATTTATTTATTTATTTGACTATTCCTGCCGCCTAATAAACGTTGGGCGGTGGCCAGCAACTCTGATGTTGGGGGATGTGGCTCCGCGTTGGGTGGGAAGGAAAACTGTAGCAGTCTGAGGACCTTTTGTTTTCCGTTCTTCACACGGCTCCCCTCTTCCTATGCTATATGAGCAGCTGAGAGCGACGTGGTCGCTCATGGTGTGAGGCTGTCGCACGTGATCTCTAACCGTGTCTGCAATTCTTCTCATGGCTGTTTCCTCCAGACTTTGACCTAAACATTGTCCAAGTCTTTCTTAAAGGGAGTCTTTGTGACCAAAGTACCTTGGAGCACGGAGAGAACGGCTCACAGTTCTGAATGACTGCAGAGGAATGCCCATGCCCCAGGGCATTGTGGGTAGTGTACTGCATGTAATTCATGGCGTGTGCGTTGCGCCGGCTGTGCATTGCCAGAATTAATTTCATTTAACTGAACCCATCAAGAATGAGACTTCCGGCATATTAAAAACAGGCCTGTTTGACTTTACTTAGCTCCAGGAGTCCCAGATGCTAGTGTGAAGAGTGAGGACCAACTTCTTCTTAAAATAACAGGAAGAGCCCTGGCATCATGGGGCAATGGGGACCTCCATGGCACTATGGTGGCCTTCAAGGGACAATGGTCTGTCCAGATCTGATTAAGGAACTTTCCATCCAGAAAGTCTCCTGCCCCCTGCCCCGTGTTTACTGGGAGAACCTCTAGGTTTTCTGTGACCTTTTACTGCAGAAGTGATCATGAAAGATGCATGGATGTGTGTTGAAGCTTCTCTAAGTGATGTTTGTTCCAGTTCTGTGACAGCTTCCTTCATTACATGTATTCCGGAAGGGCCCGGATTTATTTTGCATGTTCTGGAATTTCCAAAATGATCTTATTCATCCTGCTGATTATTTTACAATTATCAGGCTTTCAAATATTTTACCAGCATTCCTTCTCTTGTAAAATTTGCAATTGTGAATACAAATTGTTTTTTATTTCTTTTTGAAATTTTGCCTTTCTTAAGTGTTTCTCAAGATCTTTGTAGGCCATATCAGCTCTCACCTACCTGTCAGCGTGAACTACAAGAGAAAACATCTAAGCACTGTTTACCAAGCACATTTCCCGTCTTAATAAAGGCCTTAAGATGTGAACTTGACTCCGGCTGGTTCAAAACAAACAAGTACATCCTTGAAATTGCCTCCCAGCCGCAAATTCGCCTTCAGCTTCACATGAGCGATGTGTAAAGCGGGACCAGCACCAGACAGAAGAAGGCTTTCCCACATGCCTCTCTGTCTCTGCGCTTTATCGTCTAGCCAGCATGAGACACGGAGCCAACGTCCCCGAGGGGAAAAGTGCGGCTTTACGGCGGAGAATATTTCCTTGGGAAAATAAGGGACGCAGGATTGGAAGGCGGCATAGAGGAGGAGAAAAAAAACCTGCTTAGGATTGCTAGGCTCAATGAAACGCATCCAAACACAAGGCCGCCGTCCTCAGAAGCCACGAATCTGGCGTTTAAAAACAAAGCGAGATAAGCGGCGATTATCGTCTGTGGCGTGCTTGTGTGTCATCGGGTTACAAAGATGAGCCTGTAACGCTGGCGGGACTCGAGCCCCGCGATGAAATCAAGCCCGGGCTGCAGTTTAGGATCCGCTGATAGTCATCGCATCGCATTCTGGGGGAGCTGTGGGCTTTTCTTTCCCTTTGTCTGCGTCTTTGTGAGATAATGAAATGTTATATGCTCACAAACTACCGTTCTAGTAGCCGCCGAAGAATTCAAAAAGCCATATCCTCAGGGTATTGTGTTTTCGTTATGTTGACTTCGCCTTCAGTAAATTTTGCGTGTAAGTCAAGACCTGCGAAGATACCTTAACAAGAAGCTCGCTTGTAATCTCGCTATTTACATTTTATATATACTTCCGAAGCTTTTGTCCAAAGCAACGTACACGTGAGGAAAATGGCTCATTACAAACATACCAATTTCAAGGAGTCAACTAGGTGTAAGTGCAGCTAGGCTGAGCCTGCAATGAATGTCCAGGTACAAGACTAAGCAGTGTTTATTTACTTGCATTTTTAAATAATTTTGTATTCTTGTTATAAATAGATTTTTTAAATATATTGTATACTTTTATTATTTTTCTGCATCGTCATACGTTGTAGATAACTCAACCATTATCATAAACATGATCTGAAGTGCAGGATTTTGGGACATATATTATTGATGTACTGATTCCCCATCCAGGATTTGCCCCCACCTCATGCCCTATGTTGCGAAACATAGGTTCCAATCCCACCTCAGCCCCCAGCCTGTCCCATTACTGGATAAGCGGTCGGAAGATGGATGGATATCTTGTTTGTTGTTGAATGTGAGCATCCGTTTCTGTCCTGTAGCTTCAAGGACCCACATTGCCATGGAAACCTTAATATATCCGTTTAAGCCACAGATCAACGGTTTGGAAGCCTTTGTCTTACTCTCCGCCGTGTCACTAGGTGGCTTTTTACAGCCTTTCAAACAGACGAGACGAGATGTAAAGACCTGCAAGCTAACTCCATTTATATCCCCCCCCCCCCAAGAACATGGATATTGAATAACATATTTTGTTGTTGGTTGAGGCGAACAGATTCCTGCGGAGGTATTTTTTTGAACATGTGTTGCGCATTTAGTATTTTTTTTAGTACAAGCTTATTGTGGTGACATTACAAACTGCTGTTTCTTCAGTAAATCGCTGGAAGTGCAGTGCTGGTGATTCTGTCGGGTCCCGTCTAATTGTTTGTGCCGTTTATTTACCGCACAGCTGCGTAGAAGATGCTTTTATCAAAGAGGCCAGTTTGGCGCGGTGCTGCGCTCCGTGCGCTTGAGAGTAGGTAACGCACTTCGGTAGAGGACCCCTCTGCAAAGGACTGTGACCTTAACCGCCGTGTCACCAACTCTGGGTCAGAAGTACAACCGGCTATACCGTCTGTTGAGGTTAATTTTAAGAGACGTCGCTATACGTAGCTGCAAAGAACAAATGTGAAAAATGGTGCTACGTATACATAGAAATGCAATACACAGTACTATTTTCCCACAGAAACGTCAAAAGAACAGAATGTACCGTTGCGTAGGTTTAATTTCTGTTACAGTAAATATCATTTAATCTGCGTTTGATTGATGGATTTCAGAACACAATTATATGCCGTGTGAATCCAGACAAACCTGAACCAACTTGGTTATCCTACGTTTGAGGTTTCTAAGGACCTGTAGCAGCAAGCAATCTGCTGCACGCCAGGCTGGTGATGTCGTTTTAGGAACACATCACTCAAGTCTCTCGTTAGAATTACCTCGGATTGCGTTAAACGACGACGGCAAGGATAGTCCCTTCATACTGCTTCGATCAAACACTTATATCAGATCATTTAGGGCAGGGGTCTCAGACTCCAGTCCTGGGGGGCCAGAGCCCTGAGTTTTTGGTTTACCCTCATTTAACACACCTGATCCAACTCCTTGTGCTAATTACCACAGAGCTCATAAGCTAAATCATTTGTGGTGGGAGGGGGATAGAACTAAGCTAAACAGGACTCCAACCCGCCAGGACTGGAGTTTGAGACCCCTGATTTAGGGACTAGTCGCAACAGGAAAAAAAAAACTTTCCTTTAAATTCTTTAGTGTGGTCTCTTGAATGAGAATATTGGCCCCGAATGTTTGCCACATGGAAGGGAGATGTTATGTTGGATAGTTCAACAGAGGAACATGCATGGAAATTAAGGGAAATTAAAGCACAATGTTATAATTTAATGCGCCGTTAGTCATGTTTACTGTAGTAAGAATCTAAAACCAAATCCAGCAAATTTAGTTTTCCCATAAGGAGAATTTTTTTAGTGTTGTTTTCTGGCAAAGCAGATTAAAACTGGTGTTTAACAGACGCGGCGTTTCGTAACTGGCTGTTTCTTATCTCGCTGGCAGCTGCAAGCGTTCACGCAGAAACTGAGGATTTAGGAAAAGCCTTTAATGTCAGTGTCATGATGCGCTAGTGCTGTCTTTAAACCCCCAGATCATAATCGGGTATACATGACACGGAGCGGGGTTTAACACACCCGGTTCCCGCGCTCCACGTGCCTCCAAAACCAACCGGAACCGAGGTGGCCGGTGTCAGACGGGGACATTAAGTGCAAGGTCTTTATCTTGAGGGGTGTAGCACACGAATTGCTTTTGTCTGAAGTCACTTTCCCTTGAATTCCTCTTTAAATTAGAATATGGCCTGTTGGATGAAATGTACACTTGTTTTGCGCATATATTCTTTTTAACTGGGTGATCAAACTGCATACTAATCGATACCATTGGAAAACTGAGTAAATTCAGTACCTGCTCATCAACCTGTCAGATAAACGGGTAGTACAGTTGTACTGTCACTAACTGTACATATTTAATAAGAATGTTCTTTTAAAAACCTGAAACAACAACAGAGACACAATAAAATGATGTGATCGGCTCCTAGTGATGGTGTCCTTATAGTGCGCCTCACGCTGCAAAGGATTCACTATAATGTCACGATTTGGCCGCATTTTTTGTTTTATTTATCGGCTTTATATTTTCTTTTTATTCCGCAGCGTTCAAAACCGCAGTCAAATGGATGCCACATGTAAATAAACGAAACATAACGGCAGACCATATTCAATGTGAACACCGCGCGGATCCTGGAACATGTCTTCTGTGCACTTGTTGTGGAAAATGTGCGCTGTTTACTGGCACTGTTTACTGTGCCCTGTTCACGTCGACGACTACCGAACGTGTCCCGAGAACTGTGATAACTGAGTCGTTATCACACTGGCTGTTGTATATTTTGATGCATCAGTCGGATATCCGATGGAAATATGGTCTGAAAAAAGAAACATTTTATCCTACCCACACACATAAATTGTTGGACAAATCTCTCATAATATTGGGGGAGCACCTTGTGTATGTCTAAGGGGCGGGGGGGTCGAAGGCCCTACCAATGTTGAAAGCAAACCTACACCCTTCATCAGAGACTGGAATGGTTTGACTGTCGATTATAAAATACTGGTCCTGTGATTTTTTTTAGTTGTAATTACTCAATAAGCGTAAACTAGTTTTTGCAATGCTGTTTAATTATACAAAACAAATAATTCAGTTATGGAATTAAAATGCAGAAAAATGGATGATGCCCATGGATTTTTTTTGCAGCATGTGTTTCAGTGTTCCTCATGATAACGTGGGTTTCTCCTTTTACAGATGTATCCCTGCATAAGTGATACGGAGTGCAGCGAGGGGACCTACTGTCACTGCCCGCAACACAGCGCCCCCCACTGTCTCAAATGCAGGAGACGGAAGAAGCCTTGCAATCGAGACGCCATGTGTTGCCCTGGCAACTACTGCAGCAACAGTAAGTCTGCCCATCCTGTCTTGGGTGAAAAGCTCTGAGTCCAGTTTACATAAATGCTGCCTTATCTCAGCGGATTCTTAAAGTCACAGTGTGGATGTGACACAGAGGGTGTTGTGAAGAGAGCGCGACAGTCGACCCTCCTTCTAATATATCATGGGGTCAGCATAAGAAACTGAATGGGAGTTTTGGGGAGTTTTCGGGAGTTTCGTGAAAGTCACACACAACGCACATAAAGTTTGGTAACTCTTAAATGATCAGAAATATGTGCAGTTCTGGTTTGAAGCACTCCAAGCTTGTTTATGACAGCCTCTCACATGATATAGAATAGAACAGAATAGAATTGCACTATGATTTTTGTATCCCGTGTTTCTCATATCTTTTTGTGCTGTTTAAGTGCTTTAAACTGTTCTAAAATTAGAAATGCTTCACTCACCATGGAGACTGAAAATTTTTACATGGTTTTCCAGGTGGCGGGGGGCCTGCACCCCTAACCCGTACAATGTGGAAGGGTCAGCTGTATGGTTAATGCATATAACAGTCTCCTCCTGCAGTCTAAGTCCACAGAGATCCCCTCAGTGATGAGTCTGCTGTTACGTCCCCCTTTCAGCAGGAAATCTGCTTTCTCCCTGCAGATATTTGTGTTCCCGTCTCAGACCGACTTGTGTCACCACGTGCCCCGAAGCTGAAGGAGCACAAAAAGCTTGCGTCTAAGGAGCACGGCTGGAAAAAGAACCAGATAAAGCCTGCAGTTGTCAAAGGTGAACTAGCTACCATCAGGCTTCTGTTAGCATCCAGTTAATGGTGATCAATGGGCTTCCGTTAGCATCCAGTTAATGGTGATCAATGGGCTTCAGTTAGCATCCAGTTAATGGAAATCTCCGGGCTTCTCTTAGCATTTAGTTAACAGTGATCAATGGGCTTCCGTTAGCATCCAGTTAATGGTGATCACCAGGCTTCTATTAGCATTTAGTTAACAGTGATCAATGGGCTTCCATTAACATCTACCTAACAGTGATCAGTAGGCTTCCGTTAGCATCCAGTTAATGGTGATCACCAGGCTTCCGTTAGCATCCAGTTAATGGAAATCTCCGGGCTTCTCTTAGCGTTTATTTAACAGTGATCAATGGGCTTCTGTTAGCATCCAGTTAATGGTGATCACTAGGCTTCTGTTAGCATCCAGTTAATGGTGATCACTAGGCTTCTGTTAGCATCCAGTTAATGGTGATCACCAGGCTTCCGTTAGCATCCAGTTAATGGAAATCTCCGGGCTTCTCTTAGCATTTATTTAACAGTGATCAATGGGCTTCCGTTAGCATCCAGTTAATGGTGATCACCAGGCTTCTATTAGCATTTAGTTAACAGTGATCAATGGGCTTTCTTTAGCACCCAGTTAACACTGATCTCCGGGTTTCCGTTAGCATCCAGTTAAGGGTGATCACCAAGCTTTGTACACACGATTTGTTTTCAGACATTTCATTGGGCGGAAGGATACAGTGTTAATTTTTGCCCCTCCCCTCGTCATTAGGTCACGAGGGCGACCCCTGCCTGCGCTCCTCGGACTGCATGGAGGGTAACTGCTGCGCCCGCCACTTCTGGACTAAGATGTGCAAGCCGGTGCTGCGGCAGGGCGAGGTGTGCACACGCCAGCGCAGGAAGGGCTCCCACGGCCTCGAGCTCTTCCAGCGCTGCGACTGCGCCAAGGGCCTCGCTTGCAAGGTGTGGACAGACGCCACCTCAGGCACCAAGTCCCGCCTCCATGTGTGCCAGAGGGTTTGAGGCGCAGGGCAGGAGGGGGTTGGTGGGGGCGGTGGGAAGTGTCGGGGGGGGTGGGGGGTGGTTACTGGGGTGTGGCACCTCACCCCACTCTGCTTACGTCATGGAGGAATATCATAGATAAAAGATATCTCTGAAGGGAGAATCTGTGATGGGAATTCAGGTGACAGGGGGTGGATCTGATATGGGGGGGGTGATGGTCGAGGGGTTTGAGGAACTGGAAGACTTCTGTCTGATGCCTGGGACTGCCCCCCCCCCCCCCCCCGCCGATACATTCGCCATTGCAACAAGTGGCAGCCAGACCTACAGGGGAGAGATTTATCCAAATCATATGTATATATTTTCTGGGTTCTGACAGGGGAGGAAATCTTGCTTTCCAAATTAATACAGTTTTACATTTGTGTGTGTGGGGGGGGCGGGGTGTTCAGTTGGAGCAGGGCTGATAGTTCTACTCAAGACCTCCCTACATTCCAAAATTCATTTCCCATTAAATTCCCTTTGTGAGATTCAAACACCTTCAGTCTTCTTTGGCCCCTTGGGTTTCGTTTTGCACTGTCACCAGAATCTTGAGAAATATCGTGGATTTTTTTGGGCCTGTATTCGTCAAGATGGTCAACAAACCAAAATGGATTCCCAAATTGATGATTTCCTGAAATATCGAGCTTTAGATTGACAGTACAAATGCATTTCTGTCCTGTGACTGTGAAGCATTTAGCAAGGTAACACCCCAGAAAATAAACTATATGGATTTTAAATAGGAAACAAATCATATTGATTTAAGTCTCTTTGAGGACAACGCCCAAACTCAAACTGGCTTTAATTAACAGTGGCCACTATTGCAATTTTTCAATAGTATGTTTATAATTGTGCATAGTGAGAGGTTTTATTTTACAGAGTAGATTTTTCTATCTGCATGGTTGTCATTACTGTTCACACAGAGTTGTTGTATCTTGCATCACTGGAGACGAATCTCAATACAACTGCTGTCTAAATACCGTCCACTAGAATCCAGCTAGAGAGAGCGATGTGGGATCAATGAAGAAGCAAAATGCAATGAATGATCAAAAGAAGGGTTTGGTAAAATTACTGAGAGCTGTAAACAAACTATGTTATCCCAAAATAATAATTAACATTAAACGCAAAAATGACTTCATTAACAATTATTCTCATAAATATTCAACTCCATATAAGTAGTACTGTTATAATTCCCATTCTTTTTTATGAGATTTTTGGAAATAATATATATTTCTATAACAAAATATTGCTGATAGGTAAACTTATTGATAAATTAAGAAAATATATTGATTAGACTCAAAGATCTCCTATCACTTTGTTTGATTTACTTTCATTGGCTGTATAGTTCGATGTTGGTCTTTCCTCACTAAATGAAGCCACATCTGTTCAAGAATAATGTTACATTATTGCTTTTTGAAACACTTTTGATGCAATATGTTCCATATGTCTCCTGTAACAGATTACATTTAAATTTGTTGTTTTATGCACCAGTTAAGGCCTGTAATCGGTTAACAAGACCAATAAGCTCTTACTTTGTAAATAAACACTATTTAAGAATCAACAATATGTTGTGTTCAGCTTTTCATTTTGGGGGGAGGTGCGTCTTAATAAATTGCATGTAGGGGTTTTGGAATCAAACGTCAAGATTCAAGGCATTCAGAAAGAAAGCAGTAATGGGGAGAATGTCATACAAATGGCTAATGTTCATGAGTAGATGGAAGTGCAAACATACACCTACAGCAAAGTGACACCTGGAAATACTGCAATTGCCCTCATCATGTATGAGATTGCACGAGCTTTTAAAGAGGCAATATTACTGTTAAATCATTATCGACTTGACCCCCTGATAAAATGCCGGTCTTGTTACAGATACATCTGTTTTTTTTTACGAAGAGCTCTTGGTGTTTTATAGCTTTAAGAGAAAGTTCTGTATTTACAGTGATGAAAGAATTAAAGAATGTATTTTATATAACAAGGATCTCCTCTGTTTTTGTTTTCGCCTCGGCCTGCAATGTCTTCATACGTATTGAATATTACAGAACAGGAATGGCCTGGTCTCTTAGTGCAGATCAAAACAGCCCAATATGCGTAATGAGCCTTTGTTTGCTCGGTCAGTCACTGACCCGCAAAGACTGTCATTCCGTCAGTGGTGCTCGCATTTGTACTACCCATCTTTGGCCATTTTCGCCTTTGATGTATCTTGATTTAATCCTTATTGGTTTTGGAAATTTTTTATCTTACATGAGTATGAGTTACACAAACAAACATAAAAAAAACAACCCATGCTGATTATTGTTCTCGCTGTTCTGTGGTATAATAAGCTGCGGGGTCACCTGCGGTCGTGTTCTGAGCCTTTGTGACGGGCGCTTTTGAAGAAGGACATTCTGAGAAATGCCTGCAATATCGTTTCTGCAGTCCAGCACAAATTGGGGGGGGGGGGGTTCCAGGTTCAAGTGATTTTGAAAAATTGGCCTGAAACACCAGGAGAACGTAAGGGATTTCTCGCTGAAGTTCATGCAGACCTAAGAAGTAGGCTTGGCAGGGCAAATGCCACAGGGCTAATTAAATGCAGATTTAAAAATTTTTTTTGGAAAGGTGAGTCAAATGGGGTTTCCAGAAAATGTTTTTTTTTTTCCCCCTTCTTTTATTGAAACGGGATACCCCTTCACAGTTCCCCCACAAAAGGATGTTTCTAATCGTTGCATTTTCCGCTAATGGATTCCCAAGCGAGCATATCAACCCGGGAGCCTAAGAGCTACAGGGACTCAAAGAAAGTAATTAATTGCAACAATTTGCTGACTGTTAGATATCAGTTTACTTCAAAGTTCCTGACATTAAACATCTTCCAGGATGTGACTTTATTGCCCCGAGACCAAAGCACCATGACTAAATGGGTTTACCTTTATGGCTGTATCGCATCCGTCGACCTTCTTCTCAAATGTAGTGGTGCAGCATTTACCCAGAGACAAGGGTCGTCCAATGACAGCCTGAGTCTGTAATCAGGACGTCACTGTCAAAGCCAGTGCCTTTTAAGAGGCTGGAAGTACGGCCTTGTTCAACGTTGAATACCTTGTATGTTACATACATTGTATGTTAAATGCCCAGTTGAATCCCTAAGAGCTGACCATTCACAATGCGGAACTGAACAAAACATAAACACACAAGAAATTACATAAACATGCAATACAGATATACACAAGAGAACTGAGCTATAGAGTTGAACGCTACAGTAGATGTTCCGTGTTGCGATATTTCGACTTTACCATCGGTGTTCCAACTCCATTCTGTTTTTCACTTACAATACATTATTCAATAAATTACATGAGATATTCAACACTTTATTATAAGATAGCCTTTTTGTTAATGATTTTGCCCAACTGCAGGCTAATGTAAGTGTTCTAAGCATGTTTAAGATAGGCTAGGCTATGCTACGATGTTCACTAGGATAGGTTTACTGTATTAAAATGCATTTTCGCCATACAATATTTTCGTCTTACGATAGGTTTATCGGAACGTAACCCCATCGTAACCCAGGAAGCGTCCGTATTGCAGATTTCATATTTACCCTTCAACGAGGCAATGATAGGCGTAGAAACGTGAGCATGTGACAGAATCGCCGTACATGACACGATTCACATTGGTTAGCTAGGACACCTTTCCAGTATACATCCAGTAGCGTTAAATAGCGTTACATATAAATATATTTCTATGTTTATATAAATATATATTTAAATATATACAGTACAGTCACTCCTCGTTTAGTGATAGAGTTCCCTGCCAGGTGCCAGTTCACTAAGCAAAACAGAATAATAGAATAATGATACATTATTGATCCCTTGTGGGGAAATTCTCTTTTGACAGACAACACAAAGATGACAGTTATTAGCCCATAATTAGGTACTACTTAGTCTTTGGAAGGGTCATTGTCTTTGTTGGACAATCGCTGCAAAAATGGAAACAAAGGAGCATTCTGCTGATGTGAGAAACAAAGTCATTGAAATGCTCAAGGCAGGAAAAATATTGAAGTTTGAATATCTGATTAAGCACTGCTGTATCTATCGTCAGAAAGCGGGAGGTTCATCACAGCACCCAGACCCTTGCTAGAACAGGCTGTCCTTCAAAATGAAGCATCGGAGCCAGACATTGACTGATGAGAGAAGACTTTTAAAAATCCAACAGCCAGAAGTCCATAGTGCTCTTTGGCTGAAACTGGAGTGAAGGCGTGTGGGTCCACAATTTCAAGAGCTCTCCATAAAACAGGCCTCTATGGGAGGGTAGCAAGAAGCCATTCTTTAAGAAGATCCACCTAAAAGCATGTATGGCATTTGCTACAAAGCAGGAGAAAGATATGGGAGAAGGTTTTATGGTCAGATGAGACCAAAACAGAACTTTTTTTGCCAGACTTCAAAGAGGTATGTGTGGTCTAAAACTAACACTGTCCATGCCTGAAGAAACCCATAGCTACAGTGAAATATGGTGGAGGCAGCATCATGCTATGGGGCTGCTTTTCATGTACTGGGACTGGGAATCTTATCAGAGCAATTGATGGAAAAAATGCCACAATATTACAGGAGAACTTGGCTGGGGAGAAGATTCATCTTTCAACGTGACAATTACCCGAAGCGTAAGGCCAAAGCAACACTGGAATGTCTCAAAACAGAAAGGGGAATGTTCTGGAATGGCCCAGTCAAAGCCCTGATCTTAACCCTATTGAGAATCTGTGGCAGCTGTTTCAAAACTGTTGTCCAGAGGCGCCGTCACACCAACCTAGAGGATCCCTATAAATTCTGCCAAGAAGAATGGGGAAGTATCACTCCTGAACAATGTGCAAAACTGGTACATACTTACCCCAAAAGAATTAAGGCTATGATTGCAGCAATAGCATTCTTGACAAAATATTCATGTTTAGGGGTTGAATACATATTCACTGCACATATACCACTGCCACTGCATATATTGTTCAGTTATAACGGAATAGATAGTGGGGAAAGG